TGTTTTATTTCTTTTCTTTTCAAGCAATATTACATATTTTCTTTGGGCTGTCCTTACCACATTTTCCATGATGATGTTATCTCACAACATCTATTAAAAGTTAACTACCGAACTGGATAGATAGACAGAATGACCTTATCTTATTTGTAACTGTTCTTGTGTTTTTATGTTTCAGAAATCTAGAAACTTTATTCTTTCTTTATATTTCTCCCAGAAATAATTTGTATTGCACCGTTTTCGGGATCTGCAGTATTGTATCGGTAAATGAAACATGGTTAGACACCAGGATTGGATTTAAAAAATTTGTTGAGAGACTTTGTTTTATTTTGTTTAGACATTTTTTATTTGCTTTATTTGTCTGCTCTCTGTGTTCATTAATAATCCCAGGGGATCACCTCAGTGTCCTGGCCAAATTTCCCTCTGGCCTTTGCCAATCATGGTCTCCTAATAATCTATGGCTGCCACCTCATCATGCAGGTGGGGCTGCACACTGGTGGTGGTGGAGGGGAGACCCCATTTTCTGTAAAGCGCTGAGTGGTAGCGTCCAGAAAAGTTCTATATAAGTGTAAGCAATTATTATTAATTATCTTTTTAATATCAATGTTAAATAGAAATCTTCTACATGTTCAGCAATTTCAGCTTCAAGATAGAGCTTCGCTCTGTGCAGCAGCCTTAGCTCTCAGCATCAAACATATAGCAGCTTCAGCTCCAAGCCGGGCATTCAGCCTCACCGGCGCAGCAGAATCAGCTCCAGCGTCACCCAACACGCCAGCTTTAGCTCTTTGGCTGCTCTCTGCATCTCCTGATGCTGCAGTTTCATTTTCTAGTCCCCTCTTGCTCTTTTCACTGCTCACCGCGTCGACCCTTGTGTTTGCCAACCCACACTCCTGGCACTCCTGAGAGCTGCGTCAGGTGGGAGGCAATAGGCCTTTCAAAAGTTCTCTTTCAATTCTGAGAGTCCCTTTGTCATCACAGCAGCAGGGGGCAGTCCCTGTCAGAGCCTGACAACTAGGAATCCTTAAGGGGCTCTGGCTAACAGAGAGATGCTCTCAGGCATCGAAGTGGAAACAGGATGCTTCACTCCCTAAGAAAGATACAGAAGGTTCTGCTGGAATGCTGAAAGGAGACTGGTAAAAATGATAGCAAAGAAAAGTTACCCAGATAGCTCAAAAGAAAAAGGTGAGGATAAAGAGCCCTGAGTCAGGAGAAGAAGTCACTTCAAGAAAAGCTGAGAAGGCAGCAGGAATGATAACAGAAAAAAACTAAACTACTATGGCAGGACCCAAAAGAGCAAGAATGGGGCTAGGCTAGGGAGAGGACAAACAGCTGCATGGGGATAACCCTGGGGTCCTGGACAACAGAAGTTTCCTCTTGTGGGCAGGACAGAACTGCAGGTGACCAGCGGGGAAAAGTCAAGGATTCTGGGGTGGAGTCCAGGAGCTGCAAACAGTCAGGGACAGGAGTACAGAATAAAGTTCTGGAGAAGAGGCAACCTAGAAAAGAGATCTGCAGTGCAGAGAGGCTTGAAGTCATAGACTGCAGTCAGAGCAGACTGGAACAGAGCACTGCAGTGCAGGGTAACGTGAAGTCCTGGACTGGAGACAGAACAGACTGGAACAGGGCACTGCAGTGCAGGGTGACGTAGTGTCTTGGAC